CCAGAACACAAGAGGTGCAGCAGGCTCGCAGGCACTCACCCATGGAGCACTCGAAGGATGGCATGCCTCAATGCCGTCATTGTGGATATGCGTTTACCACATGGCATGCCTTCTTCTACCATGTTTCCTCGAGAAGCTGTGAGTTCTTACGGGCCATCTACTCGAGCGCCCAAGCGGCAGAGCTCACTCCGCTTCTAAGTGAGGCCCTGGTTGACTCTCCTGCACTGCTCGATCTGGCCAAGGACTGCACATGGCAGGACTTGGCGCTGCAAGCGCCGGTCCGGGCGAAACATCACCACTGCCCGGAATGTAACCACTGGAATGCCAAGCCGCAGTATGTCCGTCGACACATGAAGTCTAAGCATCCCGAACACGTCGCTCTGACAGACAAGGTCACTGCAGACATCCAAGTGAGCAACATCAGCATCAGTAACCCTTGCCAATTCTGTGGTATGACCTTTACCAGACGCGATGCCCATCTTAGGTCCTGTATGGGGGTCTTCTATGGGGTTTATCTCCACAGGCGCCTTGCTCGAGGGAGGGCCCTAGACATGGCGGGAGCCACTGCAACACCAAGTGGCACTTCCGTGGCGCAACATGTTCGGCAGCTTCAACAACTACGAGATGCCGATCCCGACGGAGCTTCAGGCTGCAACCCAGGACCTCAGCCTGCTCAAGTCCCTGCTCCCAGCCATGAACCTCCCGGAGGAGTTTGCGATGGACACGGACAAGGAGATGAACGGGGAATGGGGCCAGGACTCCCTCGACCACAGGCCCCAGAAATGGCCCAAGCCGGGCCCCAAGGGCACACAACTCAGCGGCCATCGAGGCGGCAAAGGCCGGAGACCCCAACAGTCACAGGGAGCCAACTGGGACCGCTCCAACGACTCCTGGAACGGCAGCGAGTGGGCGCGCAGACAGCCCCAAGACCCACGACGGGATCAACGGCGACCGCAGAGGGGGCAGAGGCAGGAGGACGACCAGTCTCAACAGCTGGCCGAACTGAAAGCCATCGTCACGATGCTCACCTCGCTGGTGTTGAGGCAGGAAGTGCAATTGAACATATGCCGCCAAGACACAGCGTATGTAATCTTCCTCCAGACTCAAGGAGAAGACAGCTTGGCGAGATCACTATATGTCATCGGAGAACAATGGCATCGCACGAAGTCGGAGAACCCGGACCAGCTCAAGGCCCCGCTACGTGTTATCATGTTCCAACATTTCATCGAAATGACGAAAACGCGCTTCACCAAGATGATGGAGACACCATCGTCGCGATCCCAGGCTCTGGAGAGGGGCCTTCTCACCGAGGCACCGGTGATGATCCCGGGACCCCACCGAGAAGCGCCATGTCAAGGACCCCCGGGTGACACCCCTGAAGCCCGAAGAGGTGCTGGAGGCCATGGACCGCCTCCTGATCTTGAGCTCCCAGGAACTGGTGATCAACAGGTTCCACGGCATGCGCAAGCTCAGCGAAGAGTATGCCTCCCCCAGCATCGGAATGTTTCTGGAGTTGGGACTCCGCACGGGGGCAGCCAACGAGGCCTGGAACTTGCTGCACAAGCTCAGCCAGTCTGCTGCCTGGATGGCCACGGGCGGCTACCTCCGGCACGAGCGTCTCCACCTGAGCGCCTTGGCGAAGCGCCTTGCAGCTGTGACGAAGTGAGGGCGATGCGCTTAGGGAACCAAGGCAACTACTGCTATGCCAATTCGGTGTTGCGGTCGTTGCTTTACATGAGCTGCCATCTGGCCGACGACCACCAAATTTTCCAATTCGGCTATCGTGAGTTCCTCCAGGGATAGTTAAGCGCTCTGGCCGGAAGGCAGTTCACCTTTGGCAGCATCCTGTCTGGGTTGCACTTACCAGGGGCTGGCAATCGCCAGGTCGGCAACATGACGCTGCTGAGTTTCTGCAGTTTCTTGTTAGTGGTTCCCTGTTGAATCGTCAAAGACTTGAGCTGATTTGGCAGGCCCGAGACCCCGATCTCCCTGGCCCGAGAGGTCACACAGTAGCTGATGCGGGCGAGTCGGCTCCACTCGTCCTTATCTCTCCCGGCGAGGCCTCTGAAGATGGTTCTAGGGTGGTCACTGTTCAAGACTTAGTCGATCAGTGGCACCGACAGGCCCACATACATGCAGCACTGTTGCCATCTACGGCGTTGGTGTTGCAGGCTTGCAGATTTCATTTTGAGGCGGATGGACATCTTGTGACCAAACGTAGGTATCAAATCGTTCCTACCCCTACTCTTCGCTTCCCGCAGTTTGGTGACTCCTCACACTGTCATGAGATCGTCCTCAAGCTTAATTCGGTGGTAGTACATCTGGGCGATGCCCCAGATCATGGCCATTATCAGGCGCTGCTTTATAATGAACTTACCAATGGTTTCATCCTTACTGACGATGCCAAGCCGGTGAGAAACCTCCCGTGCAAGGCTGCTGAAGCTCTTCAGGGTGACATGTATCTTTTCTTCTACACGCAGTGCCGATAATAAGGCCGGTCCCGCTTTGGGTGTCCGCACCGGGGACCTTCGAATGGGTGGGTGGGGGGATGTGCAACGCACAGCGAAGCCGGGCCGTGGAGCCTGTCCTCCTCTTTTCGTAGCAAAGGTACGACTTTGCGACGTGGAAAGTGAAAAGTGAAAGTATGTATGTATGTATGTATGTATGTATGTAGGTATCTATGTATGTATGTATGTATGCATGCATGCAAGATTATGTGCGCACGCATACACAGAAGCATGTGTGGATATCTTTATCGGTATATATATATGGTTGCATATATCTATATATATATATGTATGAGCACATCCATCTTTCTAGAAAGAACATAAAACATACATAATTCAATAAGTCTAAGTCTATATACATTTATATCTGCGTATGAATATACATGTACATATCCGCACACAGACACACACACTTTTGCTTGTGTTCTCTCGATCTCTCTCTCTCTCTCTCTCTTTTCTCTCTCTCTCTCTCTCTCTCTTTTCTCTCTCTCTCTCTCTTCTCTCTCTTCTCTCTCTCTCTCTATACATATATATATATGTATATATATATATATATTTAGACATGTATGTATATGTATGTATTTCGGCAAGTCTACTCCTATCCTTATGTTATCTCTCTAGCTCTCTGGCACGCTAGCTGTGTGGTTGTCTATCTCTACATGTTTCTCGATCTCATTAGCTCTCTATTGATATCTCCGTTTGTTTCTCTCTCGCTCTCTGCATGTTGCTACGTCTCTCTCTCTCTCTCTCTCTCTCTTTCTCTCTCTCTCTCTTTCTCTCTATCTCTCTATCTCTCTATCTCTATCTCTCTATCCCTATCTCTCCACCGTGTCTCTATCTCTGTCCATGTGTACCTTTTTCTACCTCTGTCTTTCTCTCTGTCTGTCTCTCCTTCTCGCATCTCTATTCCTAATGCATCTACGTCTACGCAACCAGGGTGGGTAAACGCAGCACTGGATGGACGTTTCCAGGTATGGATAGCTGGCTGGATGGATACACGTGAGTTGCAGAAAGATGGCGCGGTAGGTCCTGGATATGTGGATAGGCTGATTATATTGCAGTGTATTTGAACATACTGTGGTACCCTATTTATTTTGTATAGCATTTCATGTTTTCTCGCTTGTAAGGGAGCTGGTCCTCGAGCTCCGGCTGCAGCAGGATGCGGCCCTCCGGCGATTTCGCAGCGCAGTCTACCGGCCGGGGGGTGGGCACGGGGAATGTGCATCGAAGCTTCCCTCTCACTCCCAGCCCTGAGAGGGCTTGCAGGCATGAAGGACCCAGGGTGGCTTAGCAGTGCATGCTAGCGAGCGACACTGGGCAGGGTGCTGTGGTTGCTGCGCTACAACGGCAGCAAGCCACTCGCCTGCATCCGGATTTCGGAAGGTCAGTAGGCTGAATCCAGCTTGTCGCAGCTGAGGCCTCCACGTGGCCAGCTGACGCGACAGGCTCGGATGCTGCGGAGACCACTGCAGCGACTGTGACTCTGGCAGGAAATCGAGAACATGTCAAGAAAAGAGCTCATGGATGTGACTCGCCGGATCGGCAGATTATGCAGATCTTGCGTGTGCACTCCTGCAAGATACTCTTGACGGCTTGATTTCATGATCATGATCTTTGGAAGTCTCGTGTCCAGGCATTGTTCGATGCACTGGATCGGAAACAAACGCACAAACTAGACTCGAAGGCTATGCGCCAATTTGTGGTTCGGCTGCAGATGTGTTGGTCCGCTAGATAGTTAGTTGCCCGTCCGACGCTTGTTGTCTCAGGCTCATCTGACTGGCTTCTATGGTGACGATGCAGACTGGGATATGGAGTTCCATGGGATGTGCGAACATTTTGACTGGAGCGCGTCGGAAGGACTGTAATCCGCCGGTTCTTGCTTTGCTTCGGTTTATGTGAAATTGCGCGGCAGGTAGATCGTAGAATTCAGATGTCAGGTCCAGGAAGATCTGGTGAAAACCACTTCCCCCATTCGCCTCCAGGAATAAGCAGATCCCAATTCCGTCACTTCATTGGAGACGAGGACAACACTAGCACCAAAGACGGCAATAATGGTCCAGCGCACTCCACCCGTCCATGTGAGGTATTTACACCCCGATGATTGAGGTTGTCGTCAGGGCGTGTGATGTGTATGCTTGCAGGTTTGAGTGTGGGTGAGGGTGCCAGCGGGGACGAGAGTTGTGGGCCGTGGCCGACTCTTCTGTTCCTGTCAAACGAGGCAACGCGGAGCTGCAAGTCCTCATTTTCAACCTGCCGCAGAATCCCCGCAGCAGCCTGATGTTCTCGCGATACAAGGGTTTGGGCCGAGAAGAGCTTCTCGACGAGCTCTTCATGGCCCTTTCCGAGGGTCCAGAAATTCCTTCCTCCAAGCTGCAGCGTGTGGCTGAACTGACTGGTTCCAGTCGTTTGAGAAGCAAGTCGCTTACGAAGTCCCAGTTCCTGGACATTCTGGGGGACGACGTGCAAACCAGCACAGAAGAGCTCCGACGCGTGCTATTGACTGTTCGCGGTGATGTGCAGCTTTCTAGCAAGCCATGGAGCCGTCGCAGCTTTGCGCAAGCATGGCGGAGTTCGGACGTGTCGAACATGGACAGACGGAGCATGATCCAGGCAATCTTCACCGTACTTGATCAGGCGAAGAGCGGGACTTTGCAGTCGGAAGCCATCAGAACATATGCAGAACAGACAGGGTTTGAAGGGACAGATGCAGATTGGGAGGAGCAGTTCGCCGCAATGTGTCATCATTTTGGGTGGACACGAGGTGCAGGGATCAGCCAAAGTCAGTTTAATGAGCTCATTGAGGACGACGATGAAACGGATGATGACGAGTTGCGTCAAGCCTTGCTAAACTTGCAGATGCAAGCACCGCGAAGTGGCCGCCAATCTGTGCTGAGGTCGTCGTGGCAGAGGAAGAGTCTACTACATCTTCAGGGCCTAGACGTGGCACAGACCCTGACCAGGTCTGAATTGATATCGAAAATATTTTCCCTGCTGGACACGGCCGGGCAGACGAAATTGTTTTCTGCGCAGTTCAAGAAGTTTGCGGACTTGAGTGGCTTTGAAGGCGACGGAGCTGAGTGGTCGAGCCAGTTTGCGGCAATGTGCGAGCACTTCGGATGGAGCGCATCGGATGGAGTTCCCGAAACCCAGTTCGTGGAGTTCGTTGGGGACGAGGTCGAGAACAGTGATGACGAGCTGCGCAGGATGCTGGTTAGCCTGCAGGCACGTCACGGACAGTCAAGTCGACACTCGGTCATCAAATCGTCTGGGAGCCGTCGCAGTTTGATATGGGCTGACGGCGGGAAGATGGACAGGCCGAGCATGATCTCGGCAATCTTCACGATACTTGATACCAAGAAGAGCGGCACTTTGCAGTCGGATGCTATCAGAACATACGCAGAGCAGACCGGGTTTGAAGGGACAGATGCAGAGTGGGCGGAGCAGTTTGAAGCAATTTGTCAACACTTCGGGTGGACAGAAAGTGACGGTATCACGAGTAGTCAGTTCCGTGACTTCGTTCAGGAAGACGATGAAACTGACGATGACGAGCTGCGGCAAGCCTTGTTAAACTTGCAGATGCAAGCAAGGCCCAGTGGCCGTGCATCCGTGGAGTCTACTGTGGGAACATCTTGGCAGCGCAAGAGTAGTTTGGTGCATGTAGCCAGCGGTTTGGACGTGTCCAACATGGACAGACGGAGCATGATCCAGGCAATCTTCACCGTACTTGATCATGCGAAGAGCGGGACTTTGCCGTCGGAAGCCATCAGAACATATGCAGAACAGACAGGGTTTGAAGGGACAGATGCAGATTGGGAGGAGCAGTTCGCTGCAATCTGTCATCATTTTGGGTGGACACGAGGTGCAGGGATCAGCCAAAGTCAGTTTAATGAGCTCATTGAGGACGACGATGAAACAGATGATGACGAGTTGCGTCAAGCCTTGCTTAACTTGCGGATGCAAGCAAGGCCCAGTAGCCGTGCATCCGTGGAGTCTACTGTGGGATCATCTTGGCAGCGCAAGAGTAGTTTGGTGCATGTAGCCAGCGGTTTGGACGTGTCGAACATGGACAGACGGAGCATGATCCAGGCAATCTTCACCGTACTTGATCATGCGAAGAGCGGGACTTTGCAATCGGAAGCCATCAGAACATATGCAGAACAGACAGGGTTTGAAGGGACAGATGCAGAGTGGGAGGGGCAGTTCGCGGCGATCTGTCATCATTTCGGGTGGACACAAGGTGCAGGGATCAGCCAAAGTCAGTTTAATGAGCTCATTGAGGACGACGATGAAACAGATGATGACGAGTTGCGTCAAGCCTTGCTAAACTTGCAGATGCAAGCACCGCGAAGTGGCCGCCAGTCTGTGCTGGGGTCGTCGTGGCAGAGGAAGAGTCTACTACATCTTCAGGGCCTAGACGTGGCACAGACCCTGACCAGGTCTGAATTGATATCGAAAATATTTTCCCTGCTGGACACGGCCGGGCAGACGAAATTGTTTTCTGCGCAGTTCAAGAAGTTTGCGGACTTGAGTGGCTTTGAAGGCGACGGAGCTGAGTGGTCGAGCCAGTTTGCGGCAATGTGCGAGCACTTCGGATGGAGCGCATCGGATGGAGTTCCCGAAACCCAGTTCGTGCAGTTCGTTGGGGATGAGGTCGAGAACAGTGATGACGAGCTGCGCCGGGTGCTGGTCGGCCTACAATCGCAGCAGTAGCAGCAGGAACCCCGCTGCCGGTCTCAGGGACTCAGTGATGCGATGCCAAGAATCCTCGTCTCGCCGTCTAGATGGAGAAGTCACCTCGACGGCCGGAGGCCTACAGTGGGCCCGTGAGCCAGCGCTTCCTTGTGCGACAGCTCGGCTCGCACCGAGAACTCACCGAGAGCTCTTGGCGAGCGAGGCGAGGTGCCTCCTGGGAGTGAGCGAGGAGCCCAGGCGCGCGCCTGTTTTTGCTCTGATTCATTAGCTTCTGCCCTATAAGACGGACTGCAAGCAGATGCCTCTACTCGTAGCCACTGTACTCAAGAGTTTGGGAAAAGCCCTCCCAATCTTTCTTTGTCCCATTGCCCTACTTGCGAGTTGCAAGTTCTACATTTTGCCCTGGCCTGAGCCCGAGAGATGGGTGCTGCTAAGTGCATGCGACGCATCCGAGCTCTTGAAGCAATTGATGGTTTCGAGCTCTTGAAGCAAGTGATGGTTTCCCTGCAACAGAATGCCGTGCTCAAAATCTGGGCAGCAGAGGCAAGCAGTGCTGTGTACACAGACAGAGCACCAGTTGCGGTACCTGCGTCGTTGCACTTCCTGCCAAGGTCCGTTTCCCACCTTGGGTCGCCATGTTCTTGAAGATTGCAGCTCTGCCGATGATCTTTCTCGTTGGCGCTATCGCTGATGTAGATGACATGATGGAGGAGCAGGGTTTGCAATCGTGTGGCACCTGGTAACCTTGATCTTTGCTTGCAGTTGCCGGGATGAGGCACGAGAGGGAGAGCGAGCCTCTGCGGGAAAAGGCACAGCCTTAACTCCACCATGTGGGTGGTTGTCAAAATTAGGGTCCCTTTTTGGGTCCTTATTATAATACGGCACCTATTATTTAGGGTGCCCCAAAAAGGGACCCTAATTTTGACAAGCACCCATGTGGAATGTCAGGATGCAGATCTCCTCGCTGCTGTGGAAGCTGAAGACTGCTTCAGTGAGGACCGGTCTGCGAGTGCCGTGCCGAGCGGCGGTTTACAGTTTTTAGCATTTAGCACTAGCCATAGCCTACCAAAAAGGGCCGACTACTGTAAGCCCTAACGCAGAGGGACGCCGCACCGGCCCTGCCTTCGCTTTGCGCAGGACTGCGAGAGCGCACACGGCCTTGCTTTGGCCCAGCTCCGGGCCAGCTACCTGAAGAAAGAGGCCGCAAAGGAGGCCGGAGAGAGGGGCTTGGGGCTTTCCGTCTTGGGCTCCCTCTTTTCTTCTGGGGCCTCATATGGGCCCATCGGGCCCTGGCCTGTGAAGGCTGCAGGCCCAGCCAAGTACCAGTACTATGGTGCGGAGGACCTGGATTTTGACGCTGCCATCCAGGACACGGACTGCCGGTGACCCCCCTTTGCCCAGTGCTCCCATATCCAGCGCAGGAAGACTCGGATGCCGGCATTGCTTTCGTGCAAACGTCGGCAACCATGGTGACCAGCCGAAAGTCGAGTACTCTGGTGGTGAGTGCGGATGGGAGTGTGCTGTCCGGCACGGAGCCCTCTGGCCAAACGGTCTCCAGCGGCACATCCTTCGCGGTGTCTGCAGATGGTCGCATGCATGTGGAGATGTGAGGCTCTCGAAGCGATAAGTCGATCAGCGAGACCCGGACTTCCAGATTCTAGACTCGTTCTGGTGGCCTCTGTTTAAAACGGCGGCCCCAGCATTGGCCAATCAGCACTGCCCTTGAGAGTCTTTTGGATCTCCTTTGGGATCCTTGAGAAACCTGATAGCACATCTTGCGCATGGCAAAAGCAGCCGAAATGCTTCCACCTGCCTGCAGCTCAAATAAGTGCCATGCTGCGCTGCACAAGCTAGCTTGCCCCTAAGACCCCATGAAATCAGCAGCCCCGGTATGGTGCAGTTGTGCTAGGTACCATACATAGGCTTGAAAAAAGCTTCTACGCATTGCCAAGGCGTGCAGGTGCGCAGGTTCCTAAAGACACAAGAAACAGGGAGAGAGGATTTTTTCTGGAGCATGCGACAGATTTCTAGGTTGCCATGTATTATGGGCATTTTAAGGTGGTCCAACCCCTCCTCCGTTTGTTTCCTGCCCACCCCGCCCCCTCCCAATGCAACAGAAGTCTCTTTCCACACAGCTTGTGAGTCGAGCTGCAGTGTACGATGCTAGAACCTTGAGCAGGCAGCATTGACAGTTTGCATGTGTACATGCGCTGGCAGTCACAGCTTCAGAACTTCATCCCGGTACAGAGCCGTATCGGAGTGAAGTTGGGAAGGTTCATTCCCTCATGGACTTGGTGAACCTGCATTGAGTCTCATCTACTGTTTGGTGTTGGTCGACCAGGCTCCCGGCACGGGTTCATCAAAGTTGCAAGCGTCCGATAAGCCACGAAAGATCAGGTTTCTCTTCAAGGTCATGGCGCAGGCAAGAGCTGCTGCTCCTTCGATTTTCAGGCCCAGCTTCGCATACGGACTGGATGTGGTGGACAGCCCAACAGCCGTGCAGCCAGGACGCGCCTGTGGAGGAAGCGCTTCGGCGTTGATGGGAGCAGAAGGCCGGGGCCGGCCCACGATGTGCAGGTGTGCCTGTGGATGCAGTGCTATGCTGTGACAGAGTCTATGGTGGGAGTGCTTGGACATGCAGGGCATGTACCTGCTGGCGGAAGACTTCCAGCGTGCAGGCATCAAGCGGAAGACTGAAGTCAGCAAGCCCGTGCCCGCTTGGAAAGCACACCACAGGAGCCTTTCCTCGTTTGAAGCTTCAGCTTCAGATCGTACGCACGGCGTAAGGTCTTGAAGCTTCAGTCTGCAGGTTTCGGTAGAGGGTTCCGTGCCCCTCGGCGTGAGCACCGAGGGTTTGAATCTGTGGGCTACCCCTGCAGAGGCTTCTGGCGAATCTGAGCTTGTGGAGACATCACGAGATGCTGCTTGAGCGCAGGAAAAGCTGTGCAGGGCCAGCGTACCCGGGTTTACCAAGAGTAGGATCTGTTTGCTCACCGTCGCAAGCACCGCATGCTTGCTGGAGAAATGTAAACCTGCAGTCGAGCAGAACTGAGCTAAGGAATAAGGCCATGGGGTCATCTCCCGGTGATTCATGCTTCGAGCGGTGTTCTCAACTGTCGGCCAAGGTCATGAGAATCAGCTGCCAGCTCGGCCCGCACTTGACCGTTTTCGGCTCGAGATATAATCTGTCACGAGCTGGCGGGCGGAGGGCCCACAGGCATCTCAGTTTTGGAACCGCGATGATTTTGACTCTGCCATTGCCTGTCCAGGCCCCAAAGGCCCATGACAGATGCGGAATGGGCGGTCGAAACCCCAGAGAGTGAGATCAGTTTCTTCTCAAGGCAAGCTGTTGTGCCCAGGCGAATATGCGCCGGGTCCTGGGCCCGCACCTGGAGAACATGACTTCTGAGGCCTCACTGGTACCCCCTTTCTTCCCTTCAGCTCGAAGAAAGCTTTGGACCTCAGGTCAAAAGCTCCTGGGGTCTGGCTCGCGGTGAAATCAGTGTGACGAGATAGAGATATAGAGGAGAGGATTTACAAAGCTGCAGCGAGGTCCCGAGGTGGACCCCGAGGCCATGTTGCTGAGATGGCTTGGGCCCTGGGAAGCCCGGGTTCATTGTGCGTCAGCGTTAGCCTTCGGTGCCGGTCGCAGAGGTTATGCCAGCGGCACAACTTGGCCCGGGGCTCGCTTGTAATCCTCGACCCTAAACCGCCTAAACCCTACACCCGGAAGCATGGACCTTTAAGGAAGTGCGCACTGTGCCGAGGAAGTTCCGCCTGTTTCTGTGCGGCGTAGACCGAAGGCCGAAGAGAGGCACCGCAGCTACATGTATAATACGCGTATCTTATCGTAATTGTATATGGTACATTGTAGCACATCATGGTACGTTATAGATATTGTGGTATTATAGTAATATAGCCAACTACAGTACATTATAGTATGTTGTAGTATGTGGTAGTATCTTGTAAAAAATGTTGTAGTGCGTTATAGTATACTATAACATGTTATAGAATGTGTTAGTATGTTCTAGTTGGTTATAGTATATTATCGTAGATTATCGTGAGTTATCCTGTATTATGGTGTATGATCGTGTACCATCGTATTTGAGAGGATGTTCTAGGATACAATAGCATACCATAGTGTACCATAGAGCATTACAGGTACACAATGGCAAGTCAGAGTACGACGCAGCGCCGAAAAGCTTGAGCTCTCTCTCTCTCTCTCTCGCTCGCTGCTGGAGCAGCTGCGCATCGCTGTGCAGGGAGCCCGCAAAGCCGGCAGATAGCGAGGAGCACTCCACTCAGCTTGGCGGCTTTCGTAGCCACGGCTTTGTGAGACGATCTACGAAGACACGGAACTCCAAGCCTCGGTGCAGGGCGGCAAAGCCACTTCAAGCCCCTCACAGTGCAAGGCCTCCGACAGGGTGCATTTTCGGTTGCTTCATTGATGCGAACCACCGCCTTGACCACCCCAAACCCCACCCCCCCAACCCCCCGTGACATTTTAATTGGTCCCAAGAGTTCGACTTTCGAAGAGGCCAGCGGAGCAATTGCATTTTACCTGGACCTGTGAGTTTTCTTCACATGGCCACTGGGTTCTGGTGATTCACATTTGGAATACTTTTGTTGTTGGTTGGTACAAACGCATGTTTTCCTATTGATCCAAAGAGCCCCCCCCCCTCCCCGCTGCTGAGTTGTTGATGTGATTGGATGTGCCGGAGGTGCTGATGCCATCTCTTTTTTGCCCACGTTACGTTGCTGACGCGATTCTGGTTGCATGTGAGAACACCTGGAGCCCGCCTCGCCAGGATTGTTTCCCCTCCGTTGCTGATTGCCCGCCTCGTCAGCTCTGTTTGCCTTCCGTTGCTGATGTGGTTGCATGTGATGATGCTTGGAGCCCGCCCAGCCAGCTCCGTATCGCTTGCCGTCTCTCCATCCTCGGCTGGCTTTCGTTCCCTGGCCCCGCCCCTCAAGTTTGGCATGTTGTTCACATTGTTTATTTTTTTCATTTTGGGGGGTGTAATAGGAGCTGGAAAAAACAATCGTACTGTGCTTCTTGCTATTCAACGCAGGGCCCAGCCCTCTTCGCAGCGCAAGTCTCAGGGGCTTGACTGACCTTGCAAACTTATGAACATATTGCACATCCCAGCCATGTGACTGGAGTCCACTTCTGCGAAGAAACTTGGAGGATGAGGGTGCTGAATCCAGTGCATGCATTGGCGAGGACATCACATGCATGTCGGGACACAGAAAAAGACATGGGGGTTTCCGAAATAGGGGACCCTAATATAGTACCCTAAATAGTAGGATCCTTATTATAAGGATCCCAAAATAAGGTACCCCTTATGTTCGGAAACTCCCACATAGAGCTCCTCCAGGACTTTCCATTCAAGCCCAACTTGCTTGCTATTCAATGCGCGCAGTGCAATGTACAGCCTGAGGCCAAAGCAGCGGGAGCCGCAGCCGCCGAATAGCGCCAGGCTTCCGGGAACCATCTTCTTTCAGAGCTTTGTTCAGAAATGTTCAGAGCTTGTTAACGCTGAAGCCGGAGATTGTGCGATGGAGAGAGAGGTTTCGCAATACAACGCATGGCTTCAAAACCAAAGCGGCTGATTGAGGGAGTAAGCTCGAACTCTGTGAGCTCGAATATGCCTGGCATTTAGTTCTTCAGGCTGCCTCCTATTGCAAGACATACAGAAGTGCTGGCCTCGGATGGCCAAAGTGAACCTCTGCTTCGCAAGGGTGCCTGGGGCAGAGTTTCAAGCTGCCAAGGCCAAGCGAGCTCCAGAGCCACGTCTTGGCCCAGGGCAGAGCCTCCCGATCCTCGAGGAGGAGTCTGAGGCCCTTGGCTGCCTCGGCCTCGGCGAGGCCACGAAAAAACGCACGTTGCACGGCAGGCCTCGCCGTCCCCGTCCCCAGTGCACAAGACGGAGCCGCCAGCCATGGCGCTTGACCTCGGGGCCCTACACCTAGAGAGGATGCTATGACGGTGGCATCCGGTGGCTTTCCCAATCCAGGTCAAGGCCTTGACGACGAAGCCTTGGAAGTCCAACCTCAGCATCAATCTGCCCGAGCCGGCGGCCCAGAGCAGCCAAGACAACAGTGGACGCTTCTGGCTTCTGGTACGCAGTCCAGGTGCAAGCCTTGGGCTCGGACCCTGCAGACCGTCCAGGACAAAATCGTCTCGGACGAGCGTAGGTGGGAGAAGGGCACATGAACATCTGCCATGTGAAAAGCAGAGGCAGCAAACCTGGAAGGCATACCAGTCATTCCGAGCTGTTGAAGGCCAACAATCAACGTACCGAAGCTCAAGTCAGACGCATCAGCATACCGCAAAGCAGTTGGGGGTGCAGACATCATGCGACTCACCGAGGTATGCAAGACTTGATGGCATACATGCACCAGGACTGGGCAACGGCACCAAAATGGAAGGGGCAACAAAGCGAGAGACGCGAAGCAGCACGACCTAGCGCCACCTCCTGCGTTATAGCAGAGGAGATGCGGGGGCAGTTCTTATCGAAGGCCACTTGTGACTAGCAGAGCCTTGCACGACAGCGGAACGGAAGCTCGAGGTGCCACTTTTGTCAGACAAAGTTCTGGATGCCAAGACGCAGTTTCGGCAAGCTCCCAAGATTTGTAAGCTCTGGCTCGCCGTGTGCTGCAAGAGTGTTCCTGACATTGCATCTTCCGACCAAGCTTCGGCTCACAGCATGTCGGCGTGGCCCGCGCGGCCCTCCAACCGCAAATGCAACAGAGCCACCTGGCAGCCAGCATGCGAAGCGGACAAGCAGTTCGAGTGCTACGAGTGCAGCCCGTGACTCCGAGGCGAGATGATTGCAGACGAGCCGGAGAAGCCAGAGAAGCCGCCGGTCACCTTTGAAGGTGAGAGCGAGGCTAATCGCATAGTTCAGGAGCCCCGACGAACCACAATGGCTTCTTCCCCCGTGGCCGGTGCCGAAATCCGCAGGAGATCTGCAACAATGCGAAGGTCCAGGAAAAAGTCCGAGTCCAGGTGGAGGCAAGGGAGAGTCTGAGAATGCAACTACCATGGACCATACCTGGACCACACCGACACCACAAATCGGAGGCCAAGGCAAAGGCTGCGAGAGCCGAAATTCGGATGGAGAAGCTAATAGCACCTTGCCTACCTGAAAATAGTTGGGAGTTTCAATGCAGCCTCCACAGTGGTCCTGATGCTGGCATGGCTCTGCTCATTCTAAGGCCAAGAGGTATAGATACTCCTCGGGCCCCAAAGACACAGAGTTTTGGGTGAAATGCCGCTTGGTTGCCATGCTGGACCTGCACCATGCCTACTGATGCCGGGAGTAGGAGTGGTAAGCTGGAGTAGCAGTTGGGGCAGGAGCCGGTAGGGGTAGGGGCCGGGTAGGCGTAGGGGTAAGGGTAGGGGTGATGGTGGTGGTGGTGATAGTATCAGTAGTAGGCGAAGGAGGGTAGAGGCGTTGGTAGTGGTAGTGGTGGTCGTGGTAGTCGTAGTGGTAGACGCTCGGAACGGGTGTCCCTCCCAAACACCCTTAGAGCTTTCGTTTAGGGTTTGGAGTGCCAACCAGCATCTTGTTCTTTTGTATGTGGTTTTGGGTTTGCCAACCAACATTTCCTTTTGGGGTTAAGGGCTTGCCAGCAGCTCTGTGGTTCGGCAACCAACGTCTCCTTGTGGGTTGCCAACCAACATATTTGTTCCTATCTGGATTTTGTCAGCCAACATCTCCTTTCAGGGTTTAGGGTTTCCTCTTAGGTCAAGGGGCTAATATCTTTTTTGGAGCCTCGGGTCTCGTGCAGGGTTTGGGTTTACAGGCAAGACGTTTTAGTTTAGGGTTTATGGCTTGCCAACCAATAGCTTCCTTCAGAGTGTGTAGCCATCTCCGTCTAAGGTTTATGCATTTCCAACCAACATTTGCGTTCAGGATATAGGGTTCGCCAACCAGCAGAGGTTGGGGTCTCCTGTCCGGGTCTGGGAGGTCAAGCAACATTTCCGTTCGGGGCTAGGGGTTTGCTAGATTCTTTAGGGTTTGGGGTTTGCCAACCAGCATTTTGTTTCCAAATATGGAGTTTGGCAGCACGCAGAAATTAGGGACTTCTTTCGGAATTTAGGGCTTGTCTGCGAGCATCTCCTTTCAGTTTAGGGTGTAGGGCCTCCTGTTAGGGAGGTTTTTTCAACCAAGATGTCTCGCTGGGTGGGGTGTGCCAACCAAGTTCTTCTTTTAGGGTTTGGGGCTTGGCAGTTCTGGTTTTAGATTCATTTGGTTGCAGGCTTGTTGGGCTTGGTGTTAAGGTTTCATTAAGTTTTGCCGTGCCAATGGTAGCAATAATCCCCATAGCAGTATTCAAGTTTCCTGATCGCAAAAGCGAGAGAAATGACGACAACAGTTTTAAAGTTTTTGGGACGAAAGCGCGAGCAGGACATCAGTTCCGCCGGTCATCATCGTCGTAGTGATAATAGTAACTCTTACTGTTGCTTGTACTGGCACCACTACGACCATTCGCAGTGGCCACAGTAGCAGCAGCCGTAGCCGTGGCGGTAGCCGTTGCCGCACCAGGAACAGGAGCAGTAGCAGGAGCAGCAGCAGTAGTCGCAGCAGGAGTGGTGGTGGTGCGGTGGTGGTGGTGGTGGCGGCGTTGTGGTGGTAGCAGTAGCAGTAGTAGCAGTAGTAGCAGTAGTAGCAGTAGTAGCAGTAGTAGCAGTAGTAGCAATAGTAGCAGCAGCAGTATGGTAGTCGTCGTAGGCGGAGTGGTCGTCGTCGCTGTTGTCGTCGTCGTCGTCGTCGTCGTCGTAGTCGTCGTAGTCAACGTCGTCGTCGTAGTCCCCGTCTTTGTAGTAATGGTCCATTGTGCCGGGTATTTAGAACAATTACTTTGCGGACCCGTCTTCGCAATCTTGGTCATCTTGGTCATGCGGCGACGACCAAGATTGCCAAGCAATCTTGGCAATCTCGGTCATCTTGCCCCTCCCCCCAGTGGCTCGCCGAGACCAAGATTGTAAGATTGCTTGCAATCTTGCTCCCCCCTTGCCCCACTTGCTTGCCGACTGTTGTTTACCTTTTGGAGACCAAGATTGCGATTGTAAGATTGCTTGGCAATCTTGGTCGCAATCTTGGTCTAAATGGTAAGCTAGTCGGCGAGACCAGGATTGCAAGATTGCGTGGCAATCTTGCCCAAATAATTGTTCTAAATTCACGGCACACTGAAATAGTGGTACTGGTACTGGTAGAAGATGGTGAAGTGTGGCAATTGTCGGTGGACGGGGGAGAAGGAGGGGGGTCACAAGAAACAGTGGTAGTTATTCAGCACTTAAACAAGACGGGATCAGAGAGATGCCCCTTGACGTGTTGCCAGGTCAAATAAATGACAATGACCCGCCTGACTTTGTCCATGTGCTGCTAACGCAGGCAGGCTAAACGTCCTTCAAGTTGGGGCAATAGAGACGGGATGTTGGTCTCATGCACAGGAATGGCGGGTGAAGGACGTGAAGTTGTTTGAAAGGGTCGCGGCTGGGCTTGCAACGCCTTTCCAGTGACACTACCAACTTGAGTTGCGACCCTGTCTTGCACATACAGTTCATCGTGTAGACGGCCTTTACCAAGGACTCGAAGATCCATGGCTAGGATCTGTGTCCCGGACGCATCCAAGCACTGTTGTGCTCACATACATGCTGTCTTGGCACGACAGTATCTGCAGTCTCAAGCTGTGGCAAGCGGATTCAAAGCTGTCTATGCCAGAGGTCTACATTTCATCCTGATGCATCTCTCTTGCCAAAGGCACGCAAATGCTAGTTTCACTCAGCACCCCCGATAATGTACGGTTCAGCCATTCCATCAGACGGGTTTGGTGTGCAGAAGCGCCGCCTAGTCACACCCCAGCTTTGATGCTGTCCTCGGCAAAGCCGAGCAGTGTCATGGTTCGGTATGGCTGCACAACATGTCAAGCTGCCGAAGCCTCACGATTTCGACAAGCGGAAAAACGTTGGTCTGCAGAGCCGGTTTCTCGTGCACACGACGGCCGAATGTATGACCTTGACGACCGAGGCTGGTCAGCTGCTTGAAGCCACAGACCTTCGTGCCGGGGCAGCACATCATTACGGAGGGGGAGGCAGGAGCTATTGCTTTGAGTTGCTATGCCGGGTGGCGAAATCAAGGATCGACCATTACGGAAAAAGAAAGCCGAGTACTAGCGTGCTAGCCCCACTGCTCCTACCGCTACCGCCACCACTACCACTACCACTACCACTACCACGGCTGCGACTGTGACAGGACGACGACAACGACGAAGACGACGACTACTGCTGCAAGTACTACTGCTACTGCTGCTGCTACTACTACTACTACTACTACTACTACTGCTACTACTCCTGCTATAACAACAATGATGATTATTAAGTTGTTACTACTACTACTACTACTACTACTACTACTACTACTCCTGCTGTTGCTGCTGCTGCTNNTACTGCTACTACTACCGCTACTACTACTACTACTACTACTACTACTACTACTACTACTACCACTACGACTACTACTCCTGCTGTTGCTGCTGCTGCTGCTGCAATTGCTACTACTACTACTACTACTACTACTACTACTACAACAACTACTACTACTCCTCCTGCTGCTGCTGCTGCCTCTTCTACAACGACAACTACAAGTACAACAACAACAACAACAACAACAACAACTACTACTACTACTACTACTCCTACTCCTACTACTACTACTACTACTACTACTACTACTACTACCATTAGGGCGGGGGGATGATGACGACAGTGTTATGCAAACACGGCCAACAATATCACCACAAGAGCCGTTTTACTCGGTATTTACAGTACTTTCGCGATGTCGTACTTTCTTATAATATAGTTGCCACCCCTACTTCTGGACTGTGCGTCTTAAACTTTGGTGTCTCGAAAGGTTTGCAGCGAAAACTCGAAATTGGGTCGGGGAAAGCTTTTCCTCGGTGTTTACAATACTTTCGCAGATACAACCCCGCTTTTCTCGGTAATTACAGTACTTTTGGTGATGTTGGTGATGAAAGGTGATGACAGGTGTTTGATTTTTCGTGATGTTGGTGATGAAATGTGGTGTTTTTTTCGTGATGTCGGTGGTGATGATGTTGATGACAATGACGAAGTGTAGTTGGTGGTGGGGAGGGTGGCTTGTACTAGTACTAGTACACTTCTTCTTCTACTGTTGCTGCTACTACTGCTGCTGCTGCTGCTACTGCCGCTACTAC